AAAATAAATAATAAACTAAGATACACCTACAAGAAGACACTAATAATATCTTAAAGTCTAATTTCATAGGTCACTGGCTAAAAGCAAACGGCTTAGCTAGAGTTGTTAAAAATTAAGCAACAGTCAAAAATGCCACAAAGCAACTAAAATAATCTAGTAAAACAATTCAGAAGTTTTTAATAGGGCAATATCTTGCATAAGACTTTAAGATTTGGGGGTTCATGTTCTATATATGTCTTATCTAAGACAAACAGGCAAAATTAGTTATTAGTCACTGCAGTTTTGTACAGAGGTTGACAGGTTTGGAATGAATGAATAATTATGTGGTGCTTCCACATCATAAGGTGGAATCAGTGCAGACATCTGCATGCTCATTAATCTTTCTTTATGTGCAATTACCTGTAAATTGCACGCTGATGGCATCTGGCAAACAGAAACATCTTAAGACATCTCCAGACAAAAATATTCAGCTTTTTTATCTGAGTTTGGTTGTCACAGTCTGTTTTACAAATCTACTACACATGTTTACAGCTTGCTTTACTTTTGTTCTGTACCACCAAACAGTTTTACTGACACAGCGTTTCATACGTGGATGCTTTTCAATTTATGGGGTATGTGTCAGCAAAACATGCATGTAGGCCTCGCAGGTGTTGAGTGACAAGAAGGTAAGAAATATGATAAAAAGCACACAGAAAATTGATGTCACGATACATACTGTTGTGTGTGGTACACTAACAGTTATTTAGTGATGGGGAGGCAGAATAGAGTTTTCAACAAGTCTCTCATTTAATAAAGCATATATGATCCTCATGCTGGGTCACAGCTCTTAAAAAGCTATCCAGACTGGTGAGGTGTTACATAGCTCGGTGAAACCGTGTGTTGAAACTTGCTGCTAAAAGACATAGAGAGGTGAAATCCCATTATCTACCCAAGGGAAGGTAATACGGTCACTTTAAACATTATTTGTTAAGGGCAAACATAAGCTGAAACAGCTTGAAAGGAAACCCATGGCATGATCTGAGCTATGCCTGAATTTGTCTAGAAGATCTGTCCTCTTCCTAACTCCATTCCTCATATCCCTTGTTCTGGTGCTGTGGGACACGATGGGAAAGTCTGTCATTCTTTAACAGAGTGTCTGCAGAAGGCGAAAATCTCTCTTGATTAATGAAGAGGCTCTTGCAATCATTTCTATAATCACAGTTGGGTTTCCTAGAGCTCATTCCTTTGTGAACTGCATCTCCAGCAGCCTTGTTTAAATAGCAGAAGATGGAAAAGAATTTAGTAAAAAGCTTTGTGGAAACTACTTAGTAGTGAAATGTATTGCTTTTGGCAGCAGGGATAATACTTCTTGAGTGTGTTACTCATTATATTCTTGAACTACAGGGAAGTTTTAGATAAAATACTCATAAGTGCTAGACTATAATCTTTGGAGGACGTAATACGGTATTTGGAGGATAATGCGAAGATAGCTGAAATATCCAGGCCAGTCCTGTGCATACTCCCCTAGTATTATTTTGGCTTACAGCTCCATTTGGGGCAGTAGTTGGAACCCAAGTGGTCTGTATCAAGGGGCTGGACAAACTGAACATGAATATGTCCTTGCTTTTCCTTTTCTGGCTTAGATGAGACAAAAATTTTAGGCTTACAACTACACACAATTTAATGGGTCAGGGACCAACCTCTCTTCCTTGGCTAGCTACCGAGATAGCCCCAAACACTAAAACATACAAAAGATTTGTGCTCTTGGCAGCCTTGATGCAGTGTATCCCAACATCAATGTTTTGGTTTAGAATGTTTGAAAACAAGCTGGGAACTGAGAATTCAAATTTTCTTTCAGTGATAAACATCTGCCAGAAGTTTACCTAAGCATCATGTTTTGGACCCCCACAATGCAAAAGCAGCTATCCATTAATTGAATGGGAAGGATAAGATGCACCCTATCAGCACACTAGATCTTTTCCCACAAAATACAGGACAGTCAGTCTGTGCATCGGCACAGATTTAATTTTTATAACTGGGAATGTTTTTCGGGAAAATTTCACAAATGATTTATTGAAAACAAGCTAAAATAAATAGTACAGGGAGGCTGCAGGCTGTGGCTACCTGAAGGCTCTAAGCACTCACAGTGCCTCCATGAAAGCTAGTTAAGTGTTGAACTGTACAAGAAGCTATTAGTCCAAATAGCAAGGATTGTATTTTGCTCCTACAGGTAATGCACAAGACAGCATGTTTTCTAATGAGATACTTTGAGAAAACCAGAGGCTGAGGTTAGGATTTGTAATTTGAAGTTGCATGTGATTTTTGCAGGGTTTACCACAACAGAAGCATTTTATTTCAGCCAGTGAAAAAATCTGGATGGGGAAACTCTGACACTACTCAGAGCTATATTGGGGGAAGATCTTCATCTCACAAGTTTTTCAGTACAGTTTTTTTCACCACCACTAATCCCATTACTGTATTGTGTGTTGCTCTGTCTGCACTGATGCTCTTTTAAGGCAAATCCTCTCTGCCTAGCCAGCTGTCAGGCAGGCAGCACAGGCAGCCTCTTTCCTCTGCTGCAGCTACTACAGAAGCCTTGTCCCGTGGTGCTGAAACCAAGAATACTTCCCCTTTAAAGCAAGAAATTTATTCTTTTATTCATGCCACATTTTCATTATTAAGAAAAATATGATTCATAAAATACTACCCTATGGCAATATGCAGAATTTAATATTAATGCCATTTTATTAAAAAAGAAAATCCTCTAAAACAGAAAAGATTAAACTCAAGCATGAATAAATACTAGTACCTGCCTGCAAGCTACATCTGTGCCCTTTGTCTCCCATCTTTTGACATGCTGTGAACATCTCCAGAAAGTTACAGAACATTTTCTCTTAAGCAAAAAGCCCCTCATGGATATGGATGTCTTCAGTAGTCTTTGAGAAATGTCTAGAGGTCTTGTAATTTCTCACTCACATGGCTCCAAGCTGGCTGTATTCCACAACCAGGTTTTACACAATAATTAAACAGTCGCTCAAATCATTGTTCCTCAGTCCTTTTGCCTCAGAAAACATCCCTTCCAGGAGACTCTGATAAGAAAATGTGCATTCAAATTGGTCCTGCTTCTAAAAACTATGACTGACAATGCTGTGCAATTTGAGAAACGCAAGCCTTAGGTTATTCCTAGGTTCTTTTGAATCAGCATGAGATGGGCTTCTGTGCTGAGGCGTCCAACCCTGTATTTTTAAACTTCCATTTTATTCCTGGCAATCTTATCTCTGGAAGGCAGCATAAGTGCAGCAATTGCACATCTCATTTCAGAAAAATAAAGAAACATTCATTTTCCATTTTAATGATTTACTGGAAACTAGTTCACAGGCAATGAAGAGACTGATGAGAGATGAAAATGAAAAACAGCAAGACCCAATTACTCACCCGTGCTAGGCTTGTTCCAGAAGGGACTTTATATGGGACGTACTTCCTGTAGATATGCCCAACTCGAGAGCATGGAACGTCAAACATGCCACCTCCGCACATCCACACCTGGCAAGGAGACAGAAAGCAAGTGAAAGAATGATTCCTGGAAACAAATGGGGCAAAAAAGGCATTTTAAGTAATTTGTTTGTGAAAACAACACATTGTTCTGTACTGACCCCTCCCACATTCATAGTGGTGGCCTTCTTGGCATGCTGATAGCTGAGATTAGGTAAACATGGAAGACTCTCCTACCTGGAATCTCACTTTGCAAAGGCAGGGTATGTTCAAAATAAAATCATAAAAGAAATTTATAATATCTACCAATGGCCCTCCTGCAGCATAACCAAGATATTGTGTCTGTTGTTTAAAACACACAGGATCAATGGGAAGTATTTTTTTTTTTTCCAAAACACCTGGCTTGTATTTTGAATAGTGAATACAGAGCTCAAATATTAAGATGCTCTTCATTTTATAAAGAAAAGGAACAAAAATCACTTTCCTTCTGATCGAATTTATGTAAGCAGAGGAAGAAGAGCATGCTGCTACGTTTCATCATTAATACTTTAACACTGAAATGGATGGAACCATCTGGAGTACACAGGTTTTATGCTTCAGGTCTGAGCAACCAAAATTCAGTCAAAACTGATGGGACCTGCAAGTACTTCATAGCCTGAAAAATCAAACTGTGTTCTGATGGGCATCAAGCAAGGAGTTCTTCATAATACTTTACCTAGCATGACTAGGTTTTACCAAGTGTATGTGAGAACAAGGCTGTGTGCTACGTCAGAGGAACTATGGCAGGCAATCATGCCAACCTATGGGCATGTTTTTCTATGCTCTGGCAATGCAGAGCCACCAGACTTCAACATGGCTATTAGATGACTTATGTAGCATACTGACCACTTCCATAAATTTCTGATTTCCAAAAAAAAAAAAAAAAAAAAAAAGGCAATTTGCCTCTGCAAATCAGGGAAATGGAAAACAACAACAAAACCACCACAAAACCCAAGCAGAACTCTAAGTATCCTAAAAGCAACCACACAGCAAGAGTTTAAAATTAATCTAGAATGAAAACATCGGTATTATAAAAAAGATTTCCTAATCCTGGCTAAACAATTTTTTGTTCCCCACAAATTTAGAACAGAATGGCTGTTATTCCACCTAAGAGACACTTGAGGTCTCAGCTTTCAGCCTTTAGACTGAAAACAAAAAACAACCCAACACCCTCCCACACAATTTAAAAGAAAACCACACCAAAGCTGAGAAAGAAAGAGGGTTTGTCCTTTCCATGTCTCTGTACACATGGACATGCATAAAGATGCTTCATGAATTATCTCCATGAATCTGGATGAGAATTTAGGTCCATGCATTACATGCACAAAGGAATTTTATCTATATTTGATGCACTCTGGAGCAAACAGCATGAATTAAGTTTGTAACTTAGGCTAAAGCAGAGAAGAACATAGACAATTGAAAGTTTCACCAACAATTTCCATACAGAAAGGAATTAATCCGAAAGTTGACACACTCTGAATTAAAACAACAGTAACCAGACCCTTAAAAAAAGGTATTGGACAATATGATATGATCACAAATACTTGACATTCTGCATGAAGCCTGCAGAGAATAATGTGCATCTCTACGCTTTTTTTACCATACATTTCTTATTCTGTCTCTCTTGTCCTGCCCACCAGCTGGCTGTAGCTGCTGGCTTTTTAAAATCACAGGAAAAACCCCTGATTAATTCCATTCATTTAAAACAATAGTGAAAATGGGCAAGAGGTTGGCCTCTTTCGCTTTGCTTGCCCGTTTGTGTTGGGTGGGTATTTGCGTGGTCCTGGCACTGTGGCTGTGAGTTTGGGACTAAATTTTAGTAATCTGAACACACAAATGATAAACACTGCAATATGGGATAACTTAATGCTTGAGTGTGACTTCAAGCACTTGCTGAAGGTAGCACGCTGGAATTCAGCCCCTGAGTCTGATGGTGCTGTTCACACTGTGAACAGAGAAAACTGGGGTTAGAGTGAAGGCTTGAGTTGCGAAGTGATTTAGGAAGCTGCTTCTTATGGGTCATTTGTGTATTAGCCCTTATAGTTCCTTAGCTGTTAGCAATGGCATCAAGCTGAGACCCGGTAATGAAATGTTTGAGGATCTACACCTCATTGCAGAACAAATCAAAATACACTAGAGTAAATGTTTAAGGAAGGTTTGAAACCACCAAAAGTGGGGCAAGATCACGCACTTGGCTTTGTCCTGAAATTCCAAGGTCACCCTTGTGCAGTCAGGTACAGCTGAGAGCTACTCACGAAGCTGCTACCTACCACCTCCCATCAAAGAGCTAACTGAGGCATAGGAACTCTGGGCAGGTGCTTCTGGGGCATGCTAGCATCTCAGAAGAGGAGACAAATTTTGCAGGCTAGTGGCACAGGGTAATAAAGGCAGCTGTCCTGGGCATCACTCTGCCAAATGGAAGCATGTAGAATCAAGAGTATTTCAGTGCCTATTTCTGTGGTGAGGATATCCTGTCTGGTCTCCTAGAGGAGGAAATTTATGGGTGGGTTGGAAACAGAGATTTGAATGCTCTGCCTCCATGCCAAAACAGTTCATTATAACCCAGAGCAGTCTTGCAATGCCATGTAGACGTGATCATTATTTTCTTTTCAAAAACATTTTGTAAAATTTGCTTCTTAAAGAAAACCTTGAAGCCCTCACCTTTTTAATCCCATTTCACCTAAATTCACTGGAAAACACGTTTATAAACATATTAAAAAAAATCATAAAAATGTTGTGTTAAAATAAGTCCAGTAATGCCATTGTTAAAGCAACAAATGTTATTAGCCTTTTTATTATACTTTCTTTGTATGTTACATCACTTGTACGTTTCTTAGCAGGAACCTCCTCTCTGTGGCTGTCTTCAAACAACCCATTGCATCAATGAAAGTGCAGACCTATATTACTATTTGTTCTTGCTTTTTAAATTATGGTATTATTTCAAAGACTAGACAAGATATTACTGTGATTAATCAAGGTTTCTTAGTCTTTTAAGAGTGCACAGCATAGCAGCTTGACTCAGAGAAAGGTCATCCATAGAACAAATTTAAAAGTTAAGAAAGCAGAAATACATGTATATAGGCCAGTGTTACTTTAACTCAGACAATGAGAGCTAAAGTATACATATATTGCATTTCCTCTAAAGCAGTAGGATATCAGTAGAAAAAAAATCAAGAAAAGAAAAGGAATTAGAAAAAAAGGCTGTCAGATGTGCTGAGGAAATAACAAGTGGGAGGAAAAACCACTTTGTGTTGGGTTTATATTTGATAGGTATAGAACTTGAAAATGCTGTGCTGCACCTGAGGTGTGCTGTGCAGGGTAATTGAAATGAAACTTGGGCTGCCTTGAAAGACATTTAGCAGCTGTTCCTGTTTATCTTTCAGCTTCAGAATGATTTTAAAAGCTTTTTTTATGTTTTCCTGGGAAGATCAACTCTGGCAACTTTGTCTTTAAAATGTGCATTTTTATGTCACATGCGCTAAATGCAAGAAACTGGAGAATGACTTCTGTGTTAAATATTACAGACTCCCAGTGTACCATGAAAGGAATTCAGGTGGCGTGGGGCATTTGGGAGAACGATATCACAACACTGATGCCTCTCTGTTTATCTAAAAAGCAAGCAATGAAACTCTCAAGATCGCTAATGTCTGCTTCTTACAAACGCAATGAATCTGGTCTGCAGCTGATGTATAAAAAACAAAGACGAAACCAAAACAATGCAATTTCAGCTTAGAAAGATCAGAAGAAGAATAGTTTATGTGTCAACTATATACTATACAATAATTTATCTTTATATAGCTCCTTCCAACAGAATGTTGCAAAACACTTTATAGGGATGGTTGAAAGCAAAAGACAGACATTAACACAAGCTTTAAAAGAGATTAAGCTGTGGCTACGTGGCTTTATTCCTGACTGGAGCTTAGATGTCACAGATGCATTTTTTGGCTCTGTTCTACAAGTCTTGTGTGATTTTGGGTGAATCACCCTTTTTTTACATCACTTCTTTGTCTTTAAAATTGAATCCTGCTTGCTCTTGTGTTTTTTTTTTCCCTGAGTGAAAAAAAACCTCTAGTTTTTTCACGCTAGTTTCTGAGTGATCCAGCCTGGGGACTATCTGGAAAATGTAAATACTGTGCACACGAGAATGAGGCTCCAATCCATATGCTACACTGTAATCATAATTACTGCAGTAAGAGACTCATGATTTTTGAGCAGTGGAGGATGTGTTGCTGTGGAACAGGAACATAAACATGCAGCAAATTATGTAAAAGATTGAGGGGAATCTGAATGGATTTTGGATCAAGCTTCAAAACTAATTGGGAAATATACTGCTGCTGAGAGTCAGTAACAAGACAGACAACAGTGAGAGACACCAAAACGGATGGGAAAAACAAAAACCAGTAAAATGCTGGAAGAGGAATATAAAGTATGTCATGCAAAGCTGTCAGCTTGGTGCTCTCGGCATTGCACAAGAGGGACAGACTACAAACAGGAGAAATGTATTACCACAATGGGGCTGAAAAAGTTGTAGAAAATAAGAATATAAAAACTTCATGGCATTTTTCAGTCACTCTTCCTGAAATATAAGCCAAAAGAACAGATTTAGCAGTTGTAGAAAAGGAGAAAGAAGAATGCTTTCCCGTGAATTTTTCCATGTAGTGAGAATGTTCCACTAAATTAAAGAAAAAAATTGAAAAACAGGATCACCGACTGCAAATCTGCAGTCAATGAGTTCACAAACAGCAAAACCAGATACTTGTGGAACAGTGAGATTTCCTGTCAGGGATATTAAAACTGTAAACCGGGAGCTGATAACTGTGGGTATTTCAACAATACTCACCGGCATCCCTAAAATGCTGAGAAAAGTGGCACTATTCCATGTTTGTCAGTTCTTCATATAGACTACAACTGCATTGACAAGTGGTAATGCTCCCTCACTCCCTACCTCCTGCCAAGATTGACAGCAGTGGAGGGAATTAATAATGATGATGATAATGACGATAAAGAAAGGG